ACTAAATTTATAATACCCTGAAAAGGGTAAAACAAGAAAATAACTTAACTTCGGTACGCCAAAGTTTGTATACCCTTGCAGTTTCCAATTGGATCAATAAAAATCCATCCACTTTGTTAAAAAGATAGTAAGAACTTACAGAATATCAAATACTAACAGCTAATTTTATATCGTATAATATACTTAAATACTTTAATTTAATACTATTAATAATGTACAATACTATTAAAAATACCTATAGTAATTATATTTATATTAGTAAAATAAGAAGTAGTTATTAGTTTTATGAAGTTTCGCTTGCAATTAATTTTTTTTTCTTATTCGCAAACTTAGAAAATGCGAAGAAAAAAGGTAAACAAACGCGGTTTTCCTATTGTCAAAATGTAAACAGAGAAAACCACAAAAGTAGGATCGTATCTCTTTAGTGGCTCTGTCTCTCCTCTCTCTCAGGCTCCCATTTTGAGCGCGAGAGCAAGCAAAGCCAGAGAAGAAAAAAAGCGCGCGAGGACAAAGAATTTCGCGGATAAAAGAAAAAGAAAATATTGTTGTTGAACTCACCAACTTACATGCATTGTTCGTTTCTAACTCCCAAGCGCAAATTAGTGGACGAAACATCCACAAAATATCAACAAGAATAAAACTTCTACATTTTTGCATTGCTGGCACACTCTTAGATACACACACACATTTTTTGCACACTTGTTTCACTTGCATTCTTCACTTGCACATGAAAAAAAAAACAAAATCAACTAGCCAACAGGTAACGCACTGATCTTGGCTTAAAAAACAAAAATACGACAGCGCCCCGGTTGCCCCCACTTTACCCGCACTTGTTACTGTGGGGGCTCGCTGTTTTTCCACACTTTTGGCACCTGCCATTGGTTTTTCCGCGTTATTTTCCGTTTTCTTTCACTTTTCACGGCGGTGATCTCGTCCCGTTGCTTTAGCCGGCGGAAGAACAAGTGCTGCCAGATCAAAATTTGACTTTCGTCTTAAAAAATCCCAAGCGCTTAAAAGTTTTCCCTACTGCGTAGCAAAGTTTTGACTAAAATTATAATACTCTGCAAGGTTATGAAAATCGCTGTGAAGGAGTTATTTCCGGTCGTAAAAATGTTATATATTCCTTGATTAAAATTGTAATAAATTTAATAACAAATTTTAATATTTTTAAATATAACAAATTTCTCACAGTGCATCCTGGTTACTACCGCTGAAGTTGCTGCCGCAGCCGCAACGCTGCACACGCCGCCCAGGAATTGGCAAAAGCCGAGCCAAGGAGGGGTGTTGGTTAAAGAGGGAGGGAACACAGCAGGAGTGGGTGGCTGCCTGGGGGCAGGGTTGAAACATAGCCTAGTTGTTGTAGTTGTTGTTGTTTGGCTGTTGTAGTTGGCGCCAGTTTCCCATGTAAAAGTTGCTGAAAAGTGTAACGCAGTCGGAGCCTGACTGAGTTGGGGGATGCGGTTGCGAGCAGGGGAGGGGGTTCGGTGGTTTAGGGGAGGGTATAGGCAGGGGGAGGGGGCTGTCGTTGCCACGTCGCCTACGCGGCATAGTTTCAACTTTTCTGTCATACGCACTGCCAAAAAAACAGGTTGTCCAGACTTTTCGATAAGGTTTGAGCCAATGATAACAAGTAGGGGAAGGGTGGAAATTAATATTATGTAGCTAATTTATAGAAATGGTTAAGAAATTATGGGTTTTTTAGTAGAGGAGAAAAATTAGTAATTTAATTTTAAAGTACAGCAAAGATTCATCAAGAAAAGATTTAAATATCCTTACAAAATGAAAAGGCTTCTAATGAAACCACCAAGGAATTGAAATAAATTTATATAATATAAAGTTAATTATTATAAATTATATTTACAAGCAACCGCTAGCTTTATATAAATAAAATAAATAAATAAACATATAACATAAAAAAAAACATATAAATATTATTTATAAACTATAATAGTTATAATAGTTACCTTAACCTTTATCGCCAATAAGATTTTTAAGAGCATCTCCCTGTCGTTATACAAAGGGTATAACCTCTGCATTCTGTTTTTGTTTCTTCCCAAAAATTCACGCACTTTTCCGTAGTGTCCTCTCCCCTCTATTCCCCCACCATCACCCCTTGCAGGTTCCCCCCTTTTTATGTGTGTTGTTGTTGGGTGGCAAGTACATAGAGGCGCCTTTATGTGCGCAGATTTCCGTCCTTCTGGCTGGAAAATAGACTTTCGCTTTCGCTTTCACTTTCACTTGCCACCTACCGGGGAGGGGGTGGTGCAGGGAGAGTAGAGAGGGGGGAGGGGAGGGGAGGAAGCTGGCAGCAAACTTTCGACATCAAAAAGAACTACTTTCGATAATCACAGGGCTGGCGCCAGAGGAATTACATTTCAGCCGGCTGCCGGATGAGTTTTCCACACGCTTTTTACTGCCTCAAACTTGGGCTTCGGTTTTTTTTGGTTTTAAATTTTTTGCCTACTTTTATGCGCATAACAAATATCATTTAGACATTTTTTATGCAATTTTTTATTGCCATTTTATGGGAGCGAAGGAAAAAGTAATACATAACTCTAAGAGTTGGCTTATTAATTAAGGCTAAGCGAATCAACCTCGTGGAAAACTCCCAGCTTCAAAGCTAAAACCAATCAATGACATCACAAAAGCTGCTGCACTGGGAAAATTCTGTGGTTTTCCATGGAAACCCCTTCTCTTGTATACGAAAAAGCTAACTCGTTGCAGTTGCTAATTCGATGGACCGTAGTTTTCATTTAAACGGGGTGGAAGTTGAATTAGAAATTACTTTTTTGGGGGATGAAAGGGTTGAAAATAAGAAAACATTGCAATTTGGAAAATTAATCGCTTGATATAACAAATACTAGAATATTATTAAAGAAAGACAATAGTTTAAAAATATGTCAAAAGTAACAGATGTAGGATATACAACAAATGTTTATATTTTATAATTTTATAGTAAGCAACAATGATTATTATTCTATCTGTAATTAGTTCAGTTTAACATTTTGTTAAATTTTAAATATTCAAAATTCCGTTACAGAGTTTAGCAAAGTAATTTGTCGTTGTTCTATCCAAGTTTTCTACATTTGTATAACAGTATAAGTAGGCGGTTGCGTTCTGTGATAAATACAATTCAACGTTGCCACCTACTTTAAGTAAAGTTCAGTTGGTGGCGCCACACCATAACTGTATAATTAAAATAACCGAAATATTCCCGAATACATAAAATGGTACTGATGCAGATATTTTTTAGCAGTATTTCAGTATTTAAATGCCTGAATTCGATTTCTTATGAACACAGTTTTTAGTCTGCTTCCCTCACAAATTACAATCAGCTGATTTCATAAAAGGTGGCAACCCAAAATATCGCCCAAGCAACCCTGTGCTCAGCAGCAGACGAAAGCGACGAACGTCGAAATTTTCGACTTGAAAATATTTTAAATTCGTTAAACGCCAACAACAACACAGAATGCTGAACGCCGTGTCGCGTGCTTACGTCCGAGGCGGAGCCCAGGCCCTCTCCACCGGCCTGAGGGCAAGCGGCGTGGCCGTCAACTCGATGGGTAAGATTCTGCGAGGAGGCAAAAGCAGCCAGCGCAAAAAACAATCAATTACATAACAAACGGAGGAGCAGAAACCACACTTGGAGACGTTTTACGCATGGATATCCAACGGGGATTGTGCTGGCAGTCAGATCCCAGGAGATTTGGCAAATTTCCTTACGTAATTTCAACATAACCTCCGCCCAATAACAACAAAAAAAAAGTGGGCAGGAGACGCAGATGCATCTTAGCTACTACAGAGAAGATATAGCTACGCTACCCGACAGGAGCTTTTATAATTATATTGTTCAAAGATCTGTTGGATGTGGAATTAATTCCCCTTTCTCTATTTCAGCTAACCGCCAGGCACACACTGATCTTCAGGTGCCCGACTTCAGCCCCTATCGTCGGGACTCTGTGAAGGACGGTCGGCGTCGCAATGAGACCGCCGAGGAGAGGAAGGCCTTCTCCTACCTGCTGGTCGGCGCCGGTGCCGTTGGCGGTGCCTATGCGGCCAAGGGTCTGATCAATACCTTCATCGGTTCGATGAGCGCCTCCGCCGAAGTGTTGGCCATGGCCAAGATCGAAATCAAGCTGGCTGACATCCCTGAGGGCAAGTCGGTGACATTCAAGTGGCGCGGCAAGCCGCTCTTCATTCGTCACCGTACTGCGGCGGAAATCGATGCCGAACGACAGGTTCCCACATCCACGCTGCGTGACCCGGAAACTGATGATGTAGGTACTCCTACGAGTGGGTTAAATCAAATGACAGGGGATCAAAAGAAGCGTAACCCAAGCCTTGAAAGTTCAACCCACTCGTAGTGGAAAGGAAACTGAATATTGAGTAATAATATCTTAATTATCTTTTCAGCAACGTGTGATCAAGCCCGAATGGCTGGTGGTTATTGGTGTCTGCACGCATTTGGGCTGTGTGCCCATTGCGAACGCTGGTGACTTTGGTGGTTATTATTGCCCCTGCCACGGCTCCCATTACGACGCCTCTGGCAGAATTCGCAAGGGACCGGCGCCCCTTAACTTGGAGGTTCCCACCCATGAGTTCCCCAATGAGGGTCTCCTCGTTGTCGGCTAGAGCAAGTGCACTCACCCGCAGCTCTATTATCGTTTAAGCCCCAAGAACTACATAGTGAATGGATTGATGTAAATTAATAAAAACAACCAAACAAAACGGCTGAGAGCATAAACGAAGAATTCATTCGAATTGAAAACGAGATACTGTGGCGGATCAAGGACAAGATTAAAGATCAATTAAAACCCAGTGATGCAATATATAAATTATAAGTTTATGGTGATTATGGACTAAGTGTTGGAACGTTTGTGGAAATTAAGGTTTGCTGGAGCCGCTACTTAAGCGGTTCCTTGCTCCCTAATACGCACTGTTATCGATGGTTTATCTTGGCCAAACATTATATTATATATATATATAAGTATTTAACTCACTTTCTTTGGCATTTCTGGATTCAAATCCCTCCTTGGAGCCTCCGCATAGCAATGACACAGTTTTAATGGCCACATCTCGCTCGTAAATAGTTTCGCTGCTCCCATCAAGACACTTTAGACGACTCAGTAGACGAGTGTTTATGTACTTCTCCCTCTTGGCCTTTGATGGTCGCTCCATTCCGGTTTGCAGGACGAACTCCACACTGTTTCCAGGTATCCGCATTTTATTTTGTGCTTTCAATATAAAAATTTTGCAATTGTAAACAAAAATCAGCTGTGCAAAACAGGGCTGTCACCTAGTGCAATTTATGTATTGAAATTCAGTTTTTTTACACCTGTAGAATATGTTAACGATACTGCTAAAACATTTTTAACTTGATAAAACAAACCTTTTATTTTAAAAATCAAGTTATTAGTTAATTTAAACGAATTTATTCCGTCTTTTAATAAGTATTTTGTTATCGAACTAGTTTGCGGTATTATAAATACCAACAAAATCGTTTAAGCAGAATCAGCTGAATTCCACCAGTCTGGCAACACTGTCCATTGTTTTGTCTGCGCTTTATTTTGTTGTCTTTTGTTAAATCGCGTTGCAAATTTAAAGAAATGGCCGAGGAAATTGACGACAACGACTTTTACCGCGAGAACTTCAGTGCGGACTCCGATTGGGAGGTATTCAACGCCCAACTGGGAGAAATTCTACAGAAATGGGATGTATCTGCCGATGTGGCCGACGTGGGCCGCAGCTTCAAAGCCGAGGAAATCTTCCAGTGCAAGTGGAAAGTGGAAAGGGAAAATCTGGATGTGCTGAGAACAAGCATAGAGGTGGAGTACCACCAGGCCATACTGGAGGATGAGAAGGAGGACACCAGCAAGGAGAACACCTGTTTGCAACGCACGTATTGCCACCACGATCTGATGAGCAGCGGGAATAGCTTTGGACCGCCCATAAGGAGCTCCCAGGAGCTGCACACACTGGCCAGAATCTACGGCCTAAGGCGTTTTATTGTCCTGCATCCAATGAGTCCCAATCTCAAGTACATGAAGTCCACATCGGAGTTCAATTTCTTCCTGAGCTCAACTGCCGTGGTGGCCGCTGAAGTTCAGAGTGTGGTTCCCATCTTTGTGCAGATCTACGATCCGAAATGGAATTTCTACATGGGCGTGGCCTTAGCTCCTGCCCTAAGGACCAATTTCAGGCTCGTAGGGTTGGAGAAGGCCCCGTCCGAGTGTCGATTCCTGATGGGTTTGCTCACCCTGTTCAGGGAAAAGGTGCCCACATCGTATTCCCAGGCTGCCAAGATCTCTGTGTGCACTACGTATGCTCTGGATACCATGCGCATTCGTGTGCCCATGTATGTGCCCTTTGATCATGGTCTGTGCTCTGAAGATATAGTCGTTGACGGCGAAGTCTCGCAACTGGAGCTGGAGCACTTTTATGCCTTACCGCATGGCTATACACCCGAATCTCGGACGGAAATCTACCTAGTCTACACCTGGCCAGAGTTATCCGAGCATGTGGCCTTTGACAGCGAACAAAGAACTGATTTTGTGCCATCCAAGGCTCCGCTGGGAAAGGTTTACCTATCCGTCGAGGCTTTCTCGTATCTCTCCAGCTGTCTGCATGATTATCAGTCTGTGGGTGAAGTCACCAGATCCCTGGAGTCCTATGTGGGCAGGAATTTCTCGGGAGTAAGCAGCGGAGCAGAGGCAGGAGCCAACCCCTTGGATCGTATCACAGAAACCAAGCTAACGCAGCGCAGAGAAAGGAGTTACGAGTTGCCCTCTCAGGCAGGTTTAACCAAGAAGCTGCCGGGACCCATGACTGAGAGCGAGTTGAGTGAATTACTGGCCTATTTGTTCCCCGATATGCATCCGGATATGGCTTTGTATCCCTATGCCAAAAAGAGTTTCAAGGATAAGGTAAAGTTGTGTTAAATATTAATTAAATTTCATTTAATTTTCAAGTTTCTTTTAACTTCTGTTGCAGTTCGATCCCATGCGCATTAAGAGTGCTGTTCCCGACTCTCTGGTCTGCCGTTTGAGCTGCCTGTTGGCCACCTGTCATGCCCACCTGGGCAGCGTCGAGGGAATGGCTCAATTGTGGGCGGCATTTACGCGACAGCTGCGACTCATTTGGGATAACTCACTCTTGGTTCCAGGGTGAGTATTTCCATATTTATATATTAAGCTTTTAAGTAAAACAAGATCACATCAGACCCGGTTTCGTAACAAAAATATTCATTTTATTTGGAACTTGATGCGTACGAAACTGAGAAACCAAAAACGGAAACGCTTCGTAAATATTTTCTAGTAAATTTCGTTTTTGCTAAATCTGTGTGAAGCCGCAAGTTTTTAACATTTCTTTTTTTTGAATTGGATTTACTTGTAACAATATATAACGCACATTTATTATGGGATCGTGTACTATTTATAAGTCTAATTGTTTGGTGGATATCTGCTCCTCGTTCGTCTTTATCGGTGTGTTGGCCAGGAGATGAGCATTTCTATCCCAATTTATAATCTACCTTTCCGTGTTTTATATATGTTTCTGTTTTTGTTTATATTCTGGCAGTATTAGTGTTGGTGTCTCACCGTTTGCAATAATAAAATATTGCTCATCTCCAGTTGGTGTCATCTTTTTGTTGTTCTTCTTCGAGTGCATCTAAACTAAATTTAAGCACGTGCTGTGTTACTCTCTCTTTCTCCCTCTCCAATGTGCTAAGGCAGTTTAATTTAGTTGTAATTGTTTTTGTTTAACACTAAATTTGATTTAAAGTTTCTTATGTTTAGAGATTCTACTCCTCTCTACTTGCTTTACAAGTGAAACATCTTTTTAAGGGAGTCATTTTTTTGGGTTTTTCTTTGAATTTATTGCCTACTTTTGCTTTATTTGAATATTTTGTTTGTTTGTCTTGTTGTTTTTTTCTAAATAATTGCTCCCGTTTTCTACCTAAAATTGTGCTTACCAATCTAATGCTCAAAGCCTTGTCTATAACTGATTTTTCCTTAGGGATAGATTATAGAGTACATATAGATAATAGATATCTGCTTACTTCACTAAGTATTTAGTGCCAGACATGGACGTGTTTGTGGATCGCCTTGAGAAGGTGACCCTGCCCACGGGCACTAAATATTGTTAACTGTCAACTGTGTTTCGACTCCGCCGGACTGTTTATCCGGATTCGTCCCTCCAACAACAATAATGGTAATGATAATGAGATAATTGCCAAATAAACTGAAGATCGTTTTAAACGCTTAAGCCTAAAGGTTTCTACATATATACAAGGATAAAATACATATACATACCAATTGGAAATGATAAAGGAAATAAAATAAGTTCATTTTAATAGATTACTTTTATTAAATTCTCACTAAAGAAAGTATAAATCATAATTCATAAAGAAAGAACTTAGCACGCAAATGTTTCAATTGAGGCTTCTGTACAAAAAACGAAGTGAAACAAAATCGAAGCTTAAAATAAACAAAGTGTTGAACTTTAACATGAGTTGAACATTAAAAAATTAAAACTGTTTAGGCAGTAAAATGGTTTGGTTGCTTCCAAAACTAACTCAATGGTGGGCTGGGATAGACAAACATAAAGTGGATTTGAAGGGAGTGTGTGGAATGTAAATGATATAGAATATTAGGACTAGAGAATGTTTATAATTTTATTTTGAAATAGTACATTTAAGTACTCTAAACAATTGTTATATGTTTTTCTAAACTATTTTGAAACTCTTGAAACTGGAAGTAAATTACATCATTTTCTAAAGTTATTTACATATTGCTTTTGCTTTAGCTTTTTGTTTTTTTTTTTGTGCTTTCTTAGCGACTTTTATGCCTGTCTATCCCAGCATTTAAACATTATTCTTTCCTTTGCTTTTCCTCCTCCTTAGACACTAAACATTAGTTAATCAGATTTAATAGCTATTAAGTATAATTAGTACCATATATTGACTTAAGTTGTAGTTCTTTGATTGCTCAACATTTTGTGAAATGTGTGTGTCTAATTGCAAAAAAGAGAACTAGGGGGAGGGGAAATATTGGTGTTTATTGCACTCTAAACAGCATATAAAAATATCTATATATATATACTATATTTCTTGGAATTACATTTTCAACATTTTTGCATTTTGCAATTGTTAGATGCATTATGCAAATCTCAAGTGGCCCTGGTGACAGCAGCGGCAGCAGCAGCAACACTTAAGGCCTGGCCTCGTCTACAAATGTGTCTGCTTCTGTCTCAGTGTCAGCCAATGTCAAGGATCCATTCTCATCTAGTTCCTCATCCTTTTCCACTTGCTCAATGCTTGACACCGAGGTGCTGGCCGCCAAGGATGAGCCAACATCCATCTGCTGCTCCTCATCTCGTGCTGCTGCTGCTGCTCCTGTCACAGTGACCATCTTCTCCTCCTCGCTTAGACTACAATTACATGTACAATTACAGTTATCACTAAATGTATGCGCCTTATAATTGCCCATGTTGCCGGTTGCAGCATCATGATTACTATATAAAATATTGTTAGTCGTTGTCGGTAACTGTAAACGGAAGGCATTGCTGCGGGGTAACTGGCGAGCTGCCGCTGCTGTTGCTGCTGTGTTGCTGCCACTGTTGCTGCTCTTGCTTGTGGGATGATGATAAATGATTTCCTGACGTTCATATTCGTTAAAATAGTTCTCGACAACAATGCCATTCGCTATTGCATCCTTCTCCAGTGTGGCTGTCAACGCATCCAGCGGCGTCTGTTGCTGGTTGCTGCTGCTGCTGCTGCTGCTGGTTGTGTTGCTAATGCTGTTGGCGATGTTGCTGCTGCCAGGAGTTGTAGTTGTAGTTGTTAAAGTGGTTGTAGTGTTGCTATTATGGAAATTGGCCGCTCGGGGCACCACATCGGGGGGTGAGGTGCAGCGCTCCGTCTGCGGCATATAGTAGTGTAATCGTTGCTGTTGCTGTTGCTGCTGTTGCTGTGGTTGCTGATATGGCTGCTGCTCCAATTGCTGATTGCTTCTGTGTCGTTGTTGATGTCGCTCATTCCTCAAATGCCGCTGCAGTGGTTGCTCTAGATGATGTTGCTGCTGCTGCTGCTGGTGTTGCTGTTGCTGCTGCTGTTGTTGTTGCTGTTGCTGCTGCTGCTGCTGCTGCTGCTGCTGCTGCTGCTGCTGCTGCTGTTGCTGCTGCTGCTGTTGTTGCTGCTGATGACGCCGACCATGCCCCTCAATGGCCGGCGTCAGATATTGTCAGAAAATGCCATCCCAGTTTAATACAACATTGAAATATCAGGATAACGTAAGCCGCCCTCATAATGGCACTAGACCGTTCCGCGTTGTCGGATTTCGGGCCATATAGATGTCCATATCATGATCCGTCCAATTGTCCGATGTATCGCAATAATTGTTCAGCGTATGCGTCGATCCCGCCTGCGAGTATCTGCAATGGGTATAGTTTCTATGGGTTATATCAGAGATTATCTAAAAGTTAATGAAGCCATTGCATTGCTTCATTTTTTGGTGTAGTTAAAATTTATACATGGTACAAACCAAGCGAAACGCCAGTTAAAAAATATAATGGTAACGGAGAGGAGGTAAAATTTACGCAAGGGGCTTTTAGCAGTGTTTTTTTAGTGGTGAAAGGAATGCATGTACATAAAGTAGTTACAGAATTTTATACATAAATATGAAAGTTTGATTCGATTTCAATGATAATTAGTTGTTAAACAAAGTTGAAATTGATTACCAAGGAAGTTAATTGAAAGTTGTAAGGTTTTGTAGGGAAATTGTAGGGAATAAATGTAGTAAATATTTATACATAAATCATAAAAGAATTTATTCAAATCTTAGTAAATATTATGTTATCTCATAGTTAGGAAATAAATGTATTAAATATTTTAAATATATTATAAAAGCATTTACAAAATTCGAAGTATATATAGGAAGTTAACTTCCTTAGAAAAAAAATGATAAAAATCAGTTAAATTAACTTTAAGGGGAGATGGTTAGTTATTAAACAAACCTAAAATTGATTACCAAGAGAGTTATTTGAAAGTTGTAAGGTTTTTGAAGGAGTTTTGGAGAGTAAATATTGTAAATATTTGTAAATAAATCATAAAAGAATTTACTAACTTCCAAGTATAATTTTTTAAACGAAAAGTTAGAAAATAAATTTAGTAAATACTTGTAACTAAATCATAAAAGAATTAACTTAATTCTAAGTAAATATATTTAAAGAAAAAGCTAAGAGGTAGCTTTGGAAATAATTATAAAAATCTATTTAAACCTCAACCTTTAATATAATATTTAATAGTAGAAAAGTTCAAGGCCAAGTTTATGAATCAACCGTATAAAAAAGAAGCAAATTATAGCCAAAATAACAATGATTCATTAATCAATATTTTAAGTATTATTAATACCACAAAAATATCTTTAAAAAACCTACAACAAAATAATCATTGTTTGCTGTGTGTTTAGAAACTAAATCTATAATAAATCAAAGCCCCACCTCTGGCTATAAAAAAAACAGGCTAATTAAATTAATCACTCAACCGAAAGTTATAAAAAAATAGGCATTAAAACAAAGAAAACGAGAAACATAAAAGAAAGAATCGAAAGTGTAAATTAAGAAGTGTTTGTGTTATTTTCATTGTGATCTGTTGACAGAGTGTGTGAATTTGAGTGGGTGTTGGAGCGAAGTTGGTTTAATTAAGATGCCAAGATCCGTGATTATCTGATTGTTAATGTTCTACTTACCGACTTCCCGGTCGATGGTTATGTATGTGGCTGGCATTTAGCTGTTCGCGTGATCTGGAGCGCGGACGCGATCTTCGGGCACTGGAGGCAATGCTGGCGGGGCCACCGCCACCCACCATTCCGCTCATGGCCATTAGGCTGCTCACGGGAGGCCACCGCCTCCTGCACCTGCTCCGCCTCCATTGCCACCTCCTCCTCCGCCATGTATGGAGCCGGCATAGGAAGCCCTTGACATACGCTCCGAGGCGGCGGCCAAGGATTGCCGGGATTGACGCAATTCCGGGCGAGAATTCACCAAATTCGAGGGAAAGGCGCTGCCCAAATAGCCGCGATGTGAATTGTTTGAGAAACTATGCTGCGATTGTCCATCCGCCAAGGATCTACTGTGGTTATGCGGGTGGTGTTTGTGGTGTCGCGTGTATGTGTGTGGTGTGTGTGTAATATGCATAAACAAACAATGGAGAAACAAACGAAATGAACCAAATAAACAAATAAAGTAAATAAACAATCAGGGCAAAAAAAAAAATATGCACGCAAGCTTGGAATGCGGGGCAAGCAAATGTTTGATTCGAGGAAGATTGTGGAAATGGGACTCACCTTGACTTGCCCACCTTGCCAGGCATGCCAGAAAAGTGACTACGCATATCATCTGGCTGTTCCACGGGATAAATGCGAGGTCTAGGTATCGAGCGACCACTGTAGGCAGACACCTGATCCCATTCCTAGAAGAAAAAGTAATAGTAAATATATTTAAATTAATGTTTTTATACCTTCGCAGGGTATTATAATTTCAGTCAAAAGTTTGCAACGCAGTGAAGGAGGCACCACCGACCATATAAAGTATATATATTCTTGATTAGGATCAACAGCCGAGTCGATCTAGCCATGTCCGTCTGTCCGTCTATCCGTTTCTACGCAAACTAGTCTCTCAGTTTTAAAGCTATCTGAATAAAACTTTGTAGTTAGCTTTCTATATACTCTCACTCGTATATATGTAGGAACGGACCGGATCGGATGACTATATCATATAGCTGATCGGAATGATCGGAAAATTTTTACAAAAAAAATTATAACATTTTCAGTTTTCAAGAGAATTTGATCAAATTTGAGATATAGTCATTTTATAATATTCCACAATTTTGTGTAAAATTTTATGAAAATCGGACTACTATATCATATAGCTTTCATAGGAACGATCGAGAAATTAATACAACTAAAAATTATAACGTTTTCCGTTTTCAGCAGATTTTCATCAAATTTGAGATATAGCCATTTTATATTAGTCTTAAATTTTGTGTCAAATTTTATGAAAATCGGATGACTATATTATTTAGGTGCTATACAAACGATCGTTTGTTGTAGAGGAAAAATGCAAATCTTTGAATGTAAAACTGCAAATATAATATGTATAGGTGAATGAAATGAAAGCAAATATTACTTCATTGTTTTTTAACATTAATATATATATTTTATATTGTATGGATTCCTATTTATAGAAGTTCTATCTGGAAGGGTATATAAACTTCGGCGTACTGAAGTTAAATTCTTTTCTTGTTTAAATTTAAGAGACTTTCTTTATACTTTATAGTATATATTTCAAGTCTATAGTTTAATATTCCAAGCCTGTTCATAACCCCCACTTATAAGCAATTATTTACTTTACTTTTTTGGCAACTTAACCTTGCCAAAAAAGAGTACAGATTACAAATTTGAAATACTTTCTGATACGTTTAATTTGTAGTCCCCCATAAATACAATCAACCGCCATCAAATCGCGGCACTGCCAATTTCCTGCAGCCAAATCCCAGAGTTGGGGGCCAAACTATCATCTAACTAAATGGTTAGACAGACAGCTGGGAGCCAGGGGTATATATAGTAACAATTTCTTGGCAAAGCTTTAACTGTGGAAAGATAGAAACACGAGGAGGATCGAGGAGGAGGAGCAGGTAGACTCACCTTGTGATTGTTAAATGCCGATAGCGTTGCAATGGAGCCAAGTGGTCCTGGTGAACCGGTTGGACCGCAGCAATTAACGGGCAGACCTCCAATTGGCAGCGGGCTCTTCTGTTGGCTGTTTTGCAGTTTGCGGGAGCGTCTAAAAAAATGAGTAAAAAAATAGTAAAAGAATGAGTTGGGAAGTTGAGAGAAAACTAGGATAGTTAAACAGACTAGTTAAGCGATTATCTAGCAGCAATTAAAGGTATATATTAAAATTTAAAGGTATCTTTAAGCCTTGTTCATTTAAATACTAAAGAAAACAGTCTGTAGTTCATTGAAATTTAAATAGCAAATCTATTTTCCTAAAAGTCTCTTTTAGCTTAGTTCTTTTAAATTTAAAAATTAAATCTATCTTCTGTATATATTTGAAATTTTAAAGATATTTTCCTAAAAGTCTATTTAAGCTTTGATCTTTTAAATACTAAAGAAAAAGTCTTTAGTTTGTTTATATTTTAATCCCGAAAACTATCTTCAATATATATACATTTAAACATTTATAGATATTTTCCTAAAAGCCTCTTTAAGCTTTGTTCTTTTAAATACTAAAGAAATAGTCTTCAATTCATTTAAATTTTAATTTTAAAATCTATCCTCGATATATATCTAAAAGTGTATAGTTATTTTCCTAAAAGTCTCTTTAAGTTTAAGAAATTTAATCACAAAAACTATATTCAATATCCTTAGTTAGCCTTTAGTTTACAACCAACCGCTAGCTTTATATAAATAAATAAATATAAAAATCCAAAGATATTTTCCTAAACCAAATGAAACTATTCCTTAAAAGTGTATTAAGTTCTAGTTCTTAAAAATGATAAAGTGTGCAAATACCCCGCCTTTAAAGTGTATTAAGAACTTCACTTTAAGATGATTAAGTGTCTAGCTACTCTTATATAACTATAACCAAAGCATAACAGATTCAATGCGGTGAGAAGACTCCATATATAGAAAGTGGCAACGACTTAAGGACCTTGCGATAAATCAGCCAGCCACTTTGCACAGCAATTGGCTTTGTCCGTGGCTCAGTTGTTGGGCCATAACTCATGGCCAAGAAGGTTACTACGACTGGAACCCACCTGCTGGCAGCAATGAAGACAATCACGGCCACAATGATGGTGCCACAAATGGCCGCACTGGCCGCAATCGTTATCTTATCCATGTTGGAGGCCTGTGAGGCCACCGTCCTGACTTCACGGCACTGCTGATAGGGCACTGTCTCGGGGGTAACATGCAGCTCCTCCAGCGATATGACACACACAATGATACACTCTTGGGCCGGGACATTCTTGATCTTGAATTCCCTTTCGCTGGCCTCCAACGGTGGTCCCTGCTTAAAGGCCTTCTCACCAAACAGGCGATAGACCACACGGAATCCCAGGATATTTGCCGTGTCCGAGTCCCATTGAATGATCACGGAACTATCCTGTCGGAAGGCATGCTTCACTTGCACCTCGTTGGCATCATCGATGCGAGTGCCCCTCTGGGGCGGATAGCCCAGGACAAGTGGTGGTCTCTGTGGCTTATGAAGTCCTCCAGTTCCGCCACTATTGCCGTTGCCATTGGTTACACCTTGTCGCCATCCTGGAGCCTGTTTGCTATTCCCATGACCCGTTGACGAGGAGGAGGATGAGGATGAGCTGCTGCTGGTGGTGGTAATGGAGGTGGCCTGAACTGTCCCAGTTCCATTCACAGAGAGATTTGTTGCTGGAGATGAAGTTGTACCAGATGCAGTTGTTGTTGTTGTCTTGGTGGGTGGACGGGTCTGTGAAAAGGTAAAAGATTTTAAGGATTTAAGATCAAGATTGGTTTGGGAAAATTAAATAGTTATTGCTAGAGAAATATGATGCCTAAGAAGGAACCTGTAGCTCTTAGAATTATTTCCAATTTAAACCCTTTTTAATAAGCTTAATGAGCTTCTAATTCTTAATAGTTTAGACCTTCTTGGGAATTATTTTAAAATCTATTACAATCCTATGTAAGAAACCCCATTTTCAAGACTCCTCTGCAAGCATTTTGTTCTATTTATAATATTTACATATTTTAAACTTTAAGATTCCGATTTCTTGGGAAAATTCGAAAATAATTACTAGAAAAATTTGTTGCTAAAAGGAACCTGTAATTTTAGGTATTATTTTTTAGTTAAACCCTTTTAAACAAGCTTAATTCCCGTATAAATCCCAATAGTTTAGAGCTTCTTAGAAATTATTAAACATTTTATAAGAATTTTATGAAAGAAACCCCATTTTAAGACTCCTTTGCAAACTTTTTGTTTCATTATTAAAATAATTACATATCATAAGCTTTGAATTAAAGATTGGCTGGGTAAATTATATAATAATTGCTAGAGAAATATGTTACCTTAGAGGATACCTATTATTTATAACATTATTTTCATGTTAACCCCTTTTACATAAGCTTAATTCGCTTATAAATCTTAATAGTTTAAAGCTTATTATTTATTATTAAGAAATCTAAAACAATTTAATGGAATAATACTCTTTTAAGACTCCTCTTTAAGCTTTTTGTTGCATTTTTGTTAGCTATTAAAAATAATTACATATCATATCTTTAAAGATCAAGATTGTTTGAGAAAATGATATAATTTTTCGAACGATATGTTTCCTTAAAAGGAACCTTTAATTAGTAGCATTATTTTCAAGTCAAACCCTTTTAACTACCCTCAATTCACTTATAAATCTTAATAGTTTATAGGTTCTTATAAATTATTACAAAATCCATAACAATTTCATGAAAGAGTATCCACTTTCAAGACCTTTCTCCCATCATTTTCTTGCATTTTTGTTACCTATTTTAAATATTGACATATCATAAGCTATACAAGCCTTTAACAGTAGTTAAAAATTATGTTTTTCAACTTTGAACAAGGTGACAATGTGGCCACCACCTTTCCTCACTTGGAAAACCCAACTGGGTTTTATTTCCTTCCTTCCTGCCCTCCTACCCCCCCTGACAAAACTCGTATTTAACTTTACGATCCATCCTTATTTTATCACCTCCTCGTCATCACTCACCGTGCTCCTCTTGGTGGTTGGCTCCGGCGTTGTTGTTATCGTCGTGGTCGTTGTGGGTGTCGTTGTCGATGTTGAACTGCTCACACTGCTCCCCACTGGAGCCGATGCGGCTGTGCCGGTGCCCAACCCTGTTCCAGTGCCCGTTCCCGTCTCAAACTCCACCGAATCGACGGTGGGGGAGGTGGGCAATGTTGGCTTGAGGTTATCGGCCAGGCCAACGGGTCCACGGAGGGCGGCATCGGCAATGTCCGGACAACTGAGTTCCTCCGGCTGAATGGAGTAGAAGCCACGGTCCCGGAAACGTGGTGGAGTGCCACAGAACTGTGGGTTTCGTTCCCGGGATGTTACCTGCGGGTTTGGGGAGAAGGTGAAGTCAAAGCACACACACAGTTTGGTGGAGTTAATGAAACAAATGTTGGAAAAGTTTTTTTGCAAAAAAAAGAAAGAGATCTAATCGGAAACGGGCCATTTGACAACAGGTTTTGTTATCGGAGAACAGGTAACAATTGGTTGGGTTTTAAAAGGGTTTCAAATGGAAGTCAGAAATTGAAGGATTTATGGGTGTACTTGGTTAATAAGAAAGTACATTTAAAGACTTTATATTTTAAGGAATTCTTAGCTCACCTGTAAGTCTCCATTGCGTATCCATTCGGCCACCCATCGTAGCTTACAATCGCAGTGTAAGAATCTACCTCCCAGGGAAAGACCTCTCAGTGTGGCATTCAGATGGGCAAAGGCACCCTCGGGCACACTGCTCAGGGGATTGCCATCCAAAGCTAGCAGAGTGATGCCAGGATTGCCCCGAAAGGCTGCCTCTGGCAATGTGGTCAACAGATTGAATCCAATGTCCAAAACGCGTAGCTCTTTCAGTGAGTGCACAGCACCAATGGGAAATTCAGCCAGCAAATTATTGAGCAAACTCAGTGAACTAAGGGTCTTCCTAACGCCCGCAAAGGCCGTTTCACCAATACTCTGGATGAGATTCCTTTCCAAATTCAAGGCTGTCAAAGCATCCAGACCATCAAAGACACGTATACCACCCGCACCGGGCAACTCTTTGATCCCATTCTGTGAGAGATCGAGAAAAGCTAGACTTTTCAATCCTCGAATGCATTCCGGAACCTTTCGCTGTTTGGTCCCCTTGAGATTCAAGTTTTTCAAACTCTGTTCGAGACCTCGAAATGCACTCCCTGCGAGGGTCACATTGTTATCGTTCAACTTGAGGGTTGAGAGCTTTGTCAGACCCACAAAGGCATCGTCGGGAATGCGGCTAAGTTGATTTTTGGATAAATCCAACAGATTAAGCTTGCCCAGGACACGAAGTGCCTCCACAGGCACTTCCGTAAGCAGATTATCCTGCAAATTGAGATTTCGCAACACAGACTCCTGACCCTTGAAGGCACCGGCTGCAATCCGTTGAATGCCACAGCTTGAAAGTTGCACATTATGAAGGCTCAAATTGCTAAAGATGGCCTCGGGCAGCTCTGGAATCGAAGAGTTATTTACATATAACAAATCCACGGGTTTCAGTCGAGCATGAGTGTTCATGGCCTCCAGGAGTTGCGGGAAATCAACCTGCAAAAGAATATTTAATAAAGAATTATAAGAAATTCATTAATAAAAGCAAAGTATCTTTACCTGATCACATTGCACGGATAGTTCCCTGCCCAAGTTATAGGCACAAATGCAGCTTGTCTGCAAATCAGGGACATCCCTTTGCCAAGGACATTGAGCCTGGACCCCATTTAGCGTTCCTAGAACAAGTGGGAGTAGCAGGAGCAGATTCCTGGTTGCTATTATCGTTCGGCCGGGTCTCATCTTGGTGCCGGCATAGAGCTGCAAAATAAATAGAACAAGACAAATTTCAGTTAGAGATTTATATAGAAGAAGAGTTGGTGTGGAGTAGAGTGATGTGAAAAAGTGAAGGTTGTCTGTGCCAGACGAGGCCATAAATTATCCAATTAATACTGTCGCCTGGCAGGCAAATCTTCTACCTCTTGGGGTTACAGTAAATGCCTATGGTCAGTTGGTCAAGGATTTCAAGGAGAGTAGGGAAGGAAAGGAAGTTAAACAGAACAGAAAATAAAGGTTTAAAGTCTTCAGAGTTGAATATAATTAATTAAAAATATTTTGGGATATGTAAAATATATAAAAAGAACCTTGAAAACCAACCTAAACTAATATTAAAATAATATATTCCATTCAAGCATAGTTAGCTTCCTTTAAAAATGTATTTGAGCACCAGAGAAGTATCTAAATTTTAGCTTATAAAATTTTTAATATTTATAAAATTCATTTAATTTTCTTGCCGTGTGAAAAGTGTGAGAGGAAACTGGCTCTATCAATCAGTTTTTGGCAGGCTACTTTCAATTTCATTTTCATGCTCGTTAGACAACAAACAGTGCGTGAAAGGAGAGGGTATCCTCTTTCCTTGCTGACCTGATCCTTGGGGCAGTTTAGTTTTGATTAATTTGCCTGTCTGCCTGGCTGCTCCTGGCCTGTCAAACGAGGTGCTTCAAGGCTCTGTTACCCCATAAAATAGGCATAAAAAATAAAAGTAGCGAAGGCAGTAAAGCAAGACGTAGCGAAAGTAAATCCTTTTTTTGGCATCCTTTTTTTGTTGTGGTTCAAAAGTCCCAAGTGTTATGCATTTCGCGCTTTTTGTTAGCCATTTAATTTAATTTGGTTGAATCATAAAAAAAAGCCAAAGCACGTGATGTTTTTTCCCCTCTCCACACACTTTTGACATTTTGTAACCCTTCTCCTGCAACCCGAAACAAACAATGACCGATGATGACTTAAGGGTCAGGCGAAGAAGCTGTTGACCTTTTTGCATAATCATGAGTTATGATTTTTTGTTGCTTTCTGTTTGAGAAAATTCTTTGTTTTCGCTGATCATTGTTATATTATGTGATTTGAAGCAAACAATTCAGAGGGGGGTCATAAAGAACAGGTGAATGAACTGGGTTATTTTTATATGGAAACTTTAATGTATTTATTATTTATCAAAAAGAAAAAGGAAAAAGAAATAAATAAAAACAATCATTTTAGTTCAAGATAACTCCCTAGAAATTAACAACTTTGTATTAAACAAATATATAATTAATCTTATTTTCTGTGATGTTTTTTGGTTCCGAACTACTTCTACTTCGCTCTACTTTAAACTTAGAATGCAAAGAAAAAGTTTAAGCTAGCTTTTTATAAAAAAATTTAAATATATATTTGTTATTTATCAAAAGATAAATGACATAACAAAGTACAATAATTTGATTCTTAATGGAAAACTAAGTAACAATAAAATAAATTAGTTATAAGATAATCGTATTTTATGAGATATTTTCCTGCCTTGAAAATTTTCTTTTTCCGTTTTCCTATCAATTTCAAAGTAAAAGTTTAAACAAGATTTACAATTATTACAAAAATAAATAATTAACGGATAACTCCTTAGAAAATAATATTTTATAGTAATACTAAAAATACTAAAAATAATATTCTTAGTTATTTGATTCTTGCTGATGTTTTCTTGCCCTGAAATTTTCTATTTCCCCAGCTTTTTGTCAGAAAATGTTAATATTTCATTTATATATTAACAGAAATTAACAGAAATAAATAATTTTAGTAACGAATAACTCCTTAGAAAATAATCCTTTATGGAAATCAAAGCCACTAAAAATAAAGCAATTATTAGCTTGAATTAATAAGGTTTTTTTTATTTCTTTCCCTGAAATTCCACTTTTTCCTTTCAAATTCGAAGTAAAAATTTAAATAAATTTTCCTCAATTTGCAAATTGAAATCCAAAGTGACTTGAAGTAGTATCTCTGCCCTGGCAGCTTCCAGATAAACCGCAGAATAATAATTAAATGGCACGCTTCGCTGCATTTCAAATAATAATCAACATTTTGTCTTTTGATTGATAGTTTTTTTCCTTCCTCGTCGGCAGCTGTGTCACGCCTCCCTGCATCCGAAAGATACTTTTCCTCCTCGAAGGAGGAGAGGGGGAAGGAGGCTGTGGCAGAGTCCGAGGTTGATGTTTCAATTGTTCGTTGCGCCTGACTTCATTTTTCATGGCATTTTGGGTTTTTTTTTGTTTGTTGGACTGTCTCTTCCTTAATTCAACTTATAAATTGCATTACGTGGCTAAATTCAAACAAAAAAAAAGATAATAAAAAACGAATGCAGAAAAAAATATTTCAAGCTTCACTGTGCACTGTTTCTCCCCCGGAAAACCCCTCCACTTTTCTCCAGCCATTTCTCTTATGCTCTATGCTCGTTTCTCATTTCTCACTCAACTGTCTGGCCACAAATTTAATTAAAAAATTCTTGCACCATTTTATTCCCTTTCTGATCCCCTCCCCCACCCCCTGTATTTTTTTCTTCCCGACTTGCTTTTGTTGTTTTCCTTCTGCGTATTAATTGCATCACTAAATTTTTTAATGCGCGAAAAGTGCGAAAATTGCAGCTGGAAAACAAAGGAAGAACTGCAACAAAAAGTGCCAACAACAACTGACTGAGTGAATAAATGAAAAACGATTTCAGGAGTACAATCTTGGACAGCATTGTGTTAAAAAAAAAGAGAATAAAAAAAAGGATTAAAAAATGCATTGCCAAAAAAAGGAGGTGTTTTGAAATAGAACTGCAATTAAATATACTTTTTTTTGGGAATTATTCTTTTTGATGTGAGAATTTTAGCCAAGAAATTCCTATTTTTACATTTGAAAATTTTAGTTTTCAAAGGAAATAAATAAATGATGATAAAGGTGAAAGGAAATAGGTTCACTTATTCATAAAATATGAATTATTTGAGATTAATATATAATATATAAAAATATGTATGCGAAAATAAATGTATTTCTATGCAACGTTTTATAATTTTAGTCAGAAGCTTAAAACGCAATAAAGGAGTCATTTTCGACCCTATAAATCATATATATTCTTGATCAGCATCAACAGCCAAGTCGATCAAGCTATGTCCAACAAAAAATAGATCGTTTTCCAAAATTTTCAACATTTTATTAGGGGTTTCATCGTTTAAATTGTCAAAAAATTCCAAAAATTTTAATATTTTAAAAATTTCAAATTAAGTATGCAGATTTATTAATCTTAGAAAAACTAACATAGGAAAGCTTTCCGAATTTAAATCATTTTTTGGCTTAGTTATGAGATTTTAAGAAATTGATTTGTAGAAAAAACATTGTCATATCAAAATATCATTAAATATGGATAAAAAAATTAGAATATTTTAAGTATAGTTATTCAAGTCAAACTTTAAGGGCATATAAGCTTCGGCTTCCCGAAGATAGATTTTTTAATTGTTAATCTTTTAAAATTGTAGTTCAACAATAAAGTAAATAAATAAAGAATTACTCGTGAAAGAAAACCTAAACAGTTCCTATATATTTAAGAATTATCTTTTTAATAAAATATCAAAGATTATATAAACTGTTGAGAAAATATTTTTTAACTTCTTTTCAAAGAATATTTATAAAATGTTTTCCAAGTCTGCAAAATTTCACTTCACCAAGAAACTTAATAAATTAAAAGAAAAATATGAAAGAAAAAGCTCAACTTTTTCTAAATATTCCTCGAGTTCAGGAACCTCATTATTATTTTATATTAAACTTCCTAAAAAACTCTCCTTCGGGGTATTTTTTAAAAATACCCCTTTTTTTTGTTTTGTTTTCTCACCCCCAAAAAAACTTGAGAGGTGCAAATGATTTTTCTATCCTACTCTTTCAGGTGCGTTTTGTTGTTTCTTTTGTTTTGGCCGCATAATTATTCACTTTTTTTTTTGGTATTTTTTGTTTGTTTTTTTTTTGGTGGTTGGTGGCTGGCAAATTTGCATTTTTAGACAATGGTCCAGCGGTTGATTTTTTCTTGCTGTTTTTTTTGTTTTTGTTTTTCATCCACTTGCCTTTGGGTCAGGTTGGGCAATCTTCTGCTCCCATCACACCTCTAGGCACCAAAAAATGTTTTAATTGAAGTTTTATTTAACAAAAGCCGGGCATACTTCTTGTGGGCGTGATTTTACCCCCTTTTTTTAGGGGGGTTTTCTGTGGGCTTAAGGTCACATAATGCTGTTAAGCATTTAAGTGGATTAGAATATTTGAGGTTCCACAAAATAAAAAAGTGAGTTGAGTTGAGAGCTCTCGACTCTTGTGGGAAAAGTTGTCAATTGAAAAGTTTATATATAGATGGGCTTATATATATATCATATACATTATATATAAAAGTGCCAGACTTTTGTAGGTGTGCTGTTGTAGGTTGATAATCTTTTGGGTCAGCTTAGCCGCAGGAATTAAATGTGTGTGACAACAGAAAATTGGATAAAAGTTTATTCAATGAATTTTATATTTTTTTTGTAGGTGAAAGCAAAACTAACTTTGGCTTTTAGAGAGTTTTGGGTAATATAAATTAACTAATGTAAGCCTTGCCTCATCATCAAATCTTTTCTATCTATAAAAATCCTCTTTTAAATATGCCACAAAAAAGAAAAACAATTTCCTTCCTTCTGGCCATTGAAGCCAACTAAAATTGTCCTCTCACAAAAAATAAACGTAACTTGCTCAAGTTTATGGATCAATTTCATGATGATGATAATGGGGAGGCATTTTCCGGACCAACATAGACATAGAATTAATGACATGAAAGCGCTTTTGATGTTTTTATTTTATTGCAACTAAGGCCAACATTAGGTCATTTGTCAGTTGCAACTCCCTCTATCCCCCCTTTTGGCTTAGTGCAATTTTAGCCACTTTAGAAACCTTTTAAGCAGCTGCTACTGCCAACATGCAGCTGTCCACGCAGCGACTAATAAGGCAACTTTTATGCAAATGCCAAGTGCAGCAGCAGCTACCAAAGTTGCCCATGGGGAGATGGCGTTTTTCGCTCCTCTTGGATGGTCCAAAAATTACTCACACATTTCCCTGAAAAACTCCATGACTCCACTGGAGTTCAATGAACTCTTCTTTAAGTCTGACTCACCGGCACTCTAGAGCTCATTGGCTATGCAAGACCAGAGGGCCACGCACGCGTTGACAGTCATGATGAGCGTGAATATCAATTGGGTTACGTTTGGGCAAAGAGGGGAATCACACACATACTACAGATATATACATACATATATATATATATATATATATATATCCGGGGATACACGCCCATAGTTTGCCCCTGATATATGCATGTGTCTTTGCCTTCTTTTGTTGGCTTTGATTGTCAACATAGTGACTGAGATTAAGCCGAAGAATGTGAGTGAAATATGTGTGCCTATAAGGAAATAATCTGATCTAGGAATAGGATAGGTAGGAACAAAGAAAGAGACTTTATCTGTGATCAAGGCTAGAGGCTTTAATTCAAAGAAGAACAGAAGTTAAGATTCTGAAAAGGCTAAGCTAAGTTTATTCTGACAAAGATGATTATAAAGATTAAGTCATAAATTAGGGCTCTAAAGAAGATACAAAGATACAAAACTCATCAAACTTTTTAACCATGATATGGAAAACAATATATAACAATATTTATTCTTATAAAATAAACTTTATTTATACAAAAATAAACTCACTGAAAGTCAAAAAGTCTACTCAATAAATAAATAAACCCTAAAAACCTCAAGTTTAATTACTCATATTTGTAATATCATCACCATCTACTTTTACCTCCAATTTCTTTTCATTTTCCTTTAGAATTTCCACTGGTTTTCCCGACACGCGCACCTGTCTGTTGCACCAAAAGTTGCAAATGCTTAATGTTTGTGTGGAACGTCGCGTGCAACGCGAGGCAAATAGCAAAAGGAAATCCGACTTAGTGATCAGAAAAGCCAATTCCGAGGAAGATGATGAGGAAGAAGATGATGATGAGGGCGAGTTCTTCGATTGCGATGATATAACAGCCGGTTCTGGTTCTCCCTTAAAAGCTGTACCCAGCCTAAAACCCGAAGGTCGTCTGAGACGTTTAAATGAAGAGAAATTACTGGATGAGCCCGAGGAGTACTTGTACATACCAGAGACCCAAGAACCTGTGCCCAAGACAGAGGATCAGTTGCAGGATGATGCTGAGGTTATGCTAAAACTGGGTCCTGGTTCTGGTCTAACAACTCAAATGATGTGCACTTCCTTGCTCTCGGATATGGAGGCCTTCAAAGCAGCAAATCCCAGAGGGATAATGGAGGATTTTATACGTTGGTACAGTCCCAAGGATTGGGAGGAGGTCACAGATGGTAGGTATCAACTATTAACAATTATTTCTTATATATTTATATTTGTTTATCCACAGAATTGGGTGAGGTGAAACATCAATTGAGTGTCCGAATGACCACAGAGGGCAATACCTGGCAAAAGGTGTGGGAACAGGCTCAGGCAGTGCCTGTAAACCGACAAAAAAGACTCTTTGATGACACCAATGAAGCCTTGAAAGTGCTTCATTATCTAGAGACGAGGAAAATGCATGAGATTTATCAATTAACCATAGTTCCCCTTCTACATTCGGCCATACTTAAACTTATTGTAAGTTTTATAAATACTTATGCATCATCTAAAGGAGTTTTTAATTCCCCAAATCTTTTCTTTTCAGGACATCTTAAGTAATGCCAATGTGGAGGACTTGTTCAACTCTCAGATTGAGCAACTTTTGGCCGATCTTTGTAGACTCTCAAGATCTCATTCTGATGAATTACCTCCTCTGAAACCCTTACTAGATGACTTGGCTGAATTGGAACGTCGTTTTTACCAATTTAAATGCTTTGAGCGTCTCTCAGGATGTCCCAAAAGGAGTTCTCTTTCCCAAGTGAAGCTACAGTTTGAGGAAATCCTTCGGAATGAAAATTGTTGCACAATTGTGAATCGAAGACTGACAGCAGCTGGCGATGGCACTCTCTATGATATTCTTATACCTAAACTTGAGCAGGATATGACAGATCGTTTGATCAGCAAGGATTATATTATCCGATTAGATGGAGATACACAGAGCACCGAAAAAGGCCTGTATTTAGGACCACAATTCATGAGAGCTATAGTCACAGGCGAAAAACTAAGACTTTGTGGAGCCTTTACGGAAAGTACAGCATTTGTTTAGGAAAAGGATATACAGGAGCCTAACAAAATGAGAGATCTTTGACTATATTTAAAGGGATTAACAAAAAAATCTTCATAGAAGTTATTAAGAATGAAAAGTTAAAGTGTTCGCTTCTCGAAATTCCACACAGCACAGTTTAAATTTATAAAATATAAACATAATAATATAAAATAACTTAATATGCTATATAAATTTGGTGTTTATTGGTGCTACATATTTATACAAATAAAAACATAATTATAATCAACAAACAGTTGAAACATTTCTTGGGAACTTTCAACTCCTTTCAACTTCCCCTCATATAATCACTTCCAGACTTGAGGCCAAAAGAAATCCACTTGAATGACAGGCAAAAGTGGGAAAACCGAGGAAAACTCTTTTTCCTACTTTTCTCTGAACTAGCAAAAGCAAACTTTTTCGGCCAGGCAATTGCCGAAAAATGTGAGGAGGGGCGGCAATTCCAGTCTGGGCCATAAGCAAATTGTGGGCCATGGTTAACAGAAATTATTTTAAGAGCACATGCAGGAGGCCAAGACACATCTTGTAGATGGGGAAAACCCTTCTGCCAAGACATAAAACATTTTCCCTGCCGCACTCCCTTCTTGGTAATGTTTTCCCCACTAAATTACCTACGGCTATAATTGTTTTGTGTACATGTTTCGTTGTTGTTGTTTGTTGTTCTTGTCCCCTCGTAAAGCCTGCAACAATGTTCCAACACTTTTCCGCAGAAGACGACTACTGCCTCTCCTTGGTTTTGGTAACCCAAAAATGGTAAGAGTGTAAAATAAATTTGTATTTACTGCATTTGAGAGCAGGAATTATGTGAGTGCCTTGGCTCTGGGTGCACTTTGCTTTCGGTGCTTAAATGCAGGAGATCCTTTGCTCTGCTCTGCCGTGTGTATATTAATGCCTAACTAAAACCAGCTACCACATTCCATATCCATTTAAAGGCTCAAACTTTGTGGTAATGGCTTAGACGGAAATTAACTTTGGCAGCCTCACACAGTTTAGAAATATATATCGGTGTTTTTTTATTTGTAGTTTTATGGGTGTAATTTTTGAGCTTGAAAAGTAGGAAAAATTTATATAATGAAAAATATATTATGATGAAAATATCATGAAAATGTGTACAAAATGTTTTTTAATATTTTATGTTCAGTAAGGAGTTGAAGTAATAAATTGCAAATTTGAAGATTGCAAAAACTGCAAATAAAGGTAAGGTCAGAAAATTACAAATATGTACAAAATTACTAATAAAAGAAATAAACATTTTATAATGAACATATACAGAAAATGCTTTTTATATTTTACGTTGATTAAGGAGTTGAGATAATTTTAAATTTAATTTGTAATAAATTAAGTAAACGTAACAAATTTCGAAATAGAAAATTTCTAACAGAAATATTTATTTATATTGCAAATATGCAGCAAATTATGTTAATATTTTACATTCTGAAAGGAGTTAAGGTAATAAAATTATAACTAAAGTAAAGATAATAAATTACAAATAGAAAATAACAAATAAAACATTTCTAAAACAACAAATATTTATGTTAAAATGAAAATTTGCAGGAAGATTTGTTAATATTTTATGATTATTTTATTTGAGGTAATAAAATTACAAATTTGGGTAAGGAAAGAAAATTACATATAGAAACAAGAAATATAAAATTCCTAATATACAAAGTTATGTAAGTATTAAAGAAAATTTTCACGAAACTTTTAAAAATTTTTAACATTTATTAAGGAGTGAATATAGTAAATGTACAAATTATATTTTAAATAATTAATTATTTATATTACAAAATTCAGAATCATACAAATTCTAAGATGATTTTATTACTTTCAAGAATATTTTATACGCTTCCCCTTAATAATTTTCCTTGTATTTATTCCATCCCTTTAACTTATTTATTTTTTAGATTTTCCTTAAATGTCTCCTCCTCCTTTGTAACATTTTCACCTTTTTCCTTTGAGTTACACCTGGTGAATCCCTTTTTGTGTGGCGTCATCAGTCCCATTCAAAAAACGCAGGACAATGTCCCATGAATTTATTTGTTGGTCATTCAATAAATCAAAGAATAAATTGTGCGTATAAAAGTAAGCCAAACACACATATTTTCAAATGATATTCGTACAAAACCCCAATCAGATATGTAGTTATATTTATTTTCAATAAAATAATATAGCAAAAAAGAGCCAAGAGAAGCTTAATTAAATTCTTGCATTCAATTTGGCATGAAATGGTTGGTGGGGGGTAAAAAAAGAAAAAAGTGAAAGGATGAAGGGGAGCGGATTTTGCTGGTTGGTTGAGTGAAAAGTGAAGTTCGATTCCAATTGATTTGCCATCGGTTTTGTGGTCCACCTAGGCGAGTGTGTGTGTGTGTGTGTATATATTTGCAGCTATGTTACAATCTTGCTGATGCAGTTGAATTTTAATGAAAGTTTTTCCCCATCTTTTTTTTTTTTATTTGTCAGAGAAAATTGAATTATAGCAAATACACACTCGCTTCAGGATTTTCAATTTTCTATTGAACTTGCTCAATGGCACTGAAATAAAATGAAAGAAATCTAGAGTATACAAAAAAAAAAAGGATCATGAAACTAAAACACTTCAGAGTCCTTTGCCAGAATGCATTTCTCTACCAAACTCTCTCTATTGACCATGAATTATTCAGTTAACAAACTGCAATGATAAGCACTCTTCGACCATTCCCATCCACAGACCATAATTTAGCTCAAATTCTCTTCTCCTCAACTCCCCCATTTTGATAATAAAATATGCAAGAGCCTTGCCAAGTGCCAGAGACCTTAAATAATAATAGGGCATACTTCTAGTAAGATATCCATGGGAGCCCAGGGCCCAGGCCCAGGCCCATCTCTGCCAATGCCACTAAGCTTCACAAAATTTCCATATTCATGACAGAGACACAAAAAAAAAAAATGAAATGAAAAATTGTGCTAAAATGAAAAACAAACGGAAAAAGCGAAGCTGAATGGGAGGAGATTATAAGTTTCACAACTCAATAATTAAAAGTAAGCAATAAAAAGAAAATCACGCTGACGGTGGCATATGAAAATGGTGAATCGAAAGGAGTAAAGTTATGGAATAAATGATACTCCGTAATTATACTTAATGAAATTGATATTTTCTTAGAATAAAATTGTTGAAAATCTAGTAATAAATACTCTGAAATTTATTATTTGATATGCAATAATTAATTAAGTACAAATTGGATTCTATAGGAACATAAAAAAAACTAAAGAAAGGATATCTACTAGATATGGACTTATTGGTACTCAGTCATTATATTTAATTAAATTCATATTTTTCAATTATAAAATCCTAAAATGTGTTAATAAAAACTTAGAGAATATATATACAAATATATAAATTAAATTAAAATTAGGTAAGATCAAGAAAATCCGATAAAAAGGACTTAAGGTATCGACTAAAGAAATACTCAGTTATTGTACTTAATAAAATTGATGTGTATAACAATAAAATTGCCAAGAAATTATAAATAATTTCTTAATTATTGGTTGAAAGTATCATTGCAAAGTAATTAATTGAATAAAAATTAGATTTGATTATATGATGAATGCCCTTTGTAAAGGACCTTAGATATGAAATAAATGATACTCAGTACTCACTTTAAATAAGTTTAATATTTTCAAGAAAAAAAAAGATATACTCTAAAAAACTAAGTGGGAAATTATAGAAAATTTGTTATTTGATGTACAATAATTAATTAAATAAAAATAAGAAATGCTGTTGCACTTTTTGGAATTTTAATTCAAGTTGGCATTCTATATGTTTCTACCATAATAGATTTTTTAAAGATCAGTTATATAACACTTATTTCACAGCACTTTGGTTCAGTTAAACATTAATTTTCTATAAATTCAACAAGTTCTTATTCACCATCTTCATATTTAATTTATAATTTACAATCTTCAAATGAAATCTCGTCGCATATACCCCTTGCCCCACACGTTGCCTTAAAGTCTCCCATTAAAATGAAAATGAAGCTTAAATCGTGACATAGCATCGTTAGCAATAATAATAACAACAAGTGGGGAGTGTCGACAAATTCAGGCTAAGACTGTTGGGATTACTCCACAGCTTCTTCTTTCATCTCTCGCAATCTCTCACCTTTTGCTTATTTTCCTGTCAACTGCAATGCCATCTCACCTGTCTCACCTGTGTATGTAGTTAGTATCTGTGTGTTTGTAAATGTGTATATATTTGTGAGTGCAATCTGTATGGGGGCACGCCTCTTAATCGGCTTATTACAAATTTTCCCGTTTGTTGTATGCATAAGTAAAGAGATGAATTTAAAATTATGAACACTCGGAGTAGGCGGTAAAAGACTCGAGTGTTTCACCTGCTGGGAGACACCTTCCTCTCCCTCCCCCACCTTGACAAGGTTATTGAAGACATCACTTGAGCTCTGCAAAGTGTTGGTAAATAATTGTAATTGAAGATTGGCAATTGTTTGCCAGCAATTAGCGCTCTTCGACAAGGGGTGTGTGTGTGTGTGTGTGCCAATATGGATAATGATGTATGGATGGAATAATTAATTTTTATGTGGGAGCAGCTTTTGTTTTTTTTCTACAATCAATTTTTGATGGTGGCTAAGATGAAATCATCTCTTTATATGGCAATATGCTAAACAGGGGTTTGGCCATTTTAAACCAAATGTTTTGTTAACTAATATTGTTTAAAGCCACATCCGCTTGAGTAAGTGACCTTAACTTAAATGGTATTTATAAATGGGAACAAGAGCTTTGGTTGAAAGAAAAGTATTTTAATAATTTAATCGATATTTTTGGCAAATAAATGAATTAAACAGAAATATATATAATAATATAAAAATATAATGAGAAATGAACTTTGTATACCCTTTGTAATAGAATTATAGAATCGAATTTGAAATTGATCATAACTAAACTTAAAGTATTCTCCTTTTTAATAGATTTTTTATGCATATTTTATATGACATTTTTTTCGACAATTACAAATTTTAAAACCTCATAACTAAGCCAAAAAAGCATTAATTTTAATTCGCAAAGCTGTCTTATGTTAGTTTTTTATAGGTTTATAAATCTGCATACTCAATATGCAAATTAAATAGTGTAAAATTTTTGACAAAATTTTAACCATGTAATACCTTGAAAAATGTGGAAAAAAATTTC